TCAAACCTAATAAAATGTGTGTATAAAAACTTTGTGGTTCAAAAAAGTTCATTAGAGTTAAATTTCTAAAAAATACAAAGAGATAACTTATAATTCATATTGATAAAAGTGATTAAAAAGATTCTAAAAATTGCACATGGTGAACTTCTACTATGTTTTCAATTTAATATGCAAATTGAAGATACTTTAATTATAAAATAAACATAAGAGTTTACTCATAATTATTTATTGTATTATTAATTTTATTCAATTTTTTAAGAGGGAATATTAAGCCTTCATTTCTGATGGCTTTTTAACTACTAAAAATTATTTTAAAAAAATAATAAGAAAATTATCCCAAATAAACGTGGTGTATTCTGATTCGCCTCCGAACGATCCAACGACTGTGCATAATAATTTCTCCTTCAAATAATATATACTAAGAGTCAACTCGATAATAAGGATTACAAATCACTCATTTTTAATTTTGCTTAACCATATAAAAATACCCAAGAATCATAAGAGATGATAATTGCATGAACTATTTAGACTTCATTTCATGCAGCTTTCTTAATATTTTATAAAGCAACTTTTTTATACAAAATTTTTTTGAATTAAAAATTTTTATGATAAAACACTACTTTAGAAAGTACAAAGCTATCTCAAACGAAACCTTAATCTCAATTGAATTATTACCTTTAATATCACTTATTATGGAGTATAGACAAAGGACTAGAGTTAAATGGAGTGAAAATTAAGGAGTAGAGTTAAGTGTGATACATTAGCAATCAAACTTATTTTCATCTGAAAAAAAAAAAATTTTACTTGACCAACCTCTTATATTTTTTACCTATTTGATTTGAACCAAACACTCAATACTATCACAATCAGCAGTTCACACATCATGTTATTCTACTTAACTCTCACATATTGAAAAACTATTATGAGCTTTTTATAACATTAGACAAGTTCATCAACTGGAAAACCCAAAGTATAATGGGAGATTGGCTATCCAAAGTTCAACCAAAAAAAAAGAAGAAGAAACTCAACACTATCATCAAGAGTACAAGTAACAGTTGTTTCTTCCTGAAGTTAGCAACTTGATCAACACATCTTACATGTTACAATAAGCTCTAAATCGGCAGAAGAGAATGCCTCAATGACGCACATACGCTCAGCCAACCATGAATTATAGTTATTAACTTGAAATCCTGCAAAAGGCATGATAGATATCTGAGAAATCATTCTGAGTAAGGAAAAAGACAGCAATGGTTATTACAATCAAAACTTTTAAGAACTTTCTGTATCCTCTGTTTCAAATTACTAAAGAAACTGGCACAATTTGCACTTACAGAGTCCTTGAGAGAAGGTTTATTTCACATTAATCCGTGCTTACGGGAATCAGTTTAAAAACTTTAAGACAGGCTGTTGTGATTAGGATGTAAGCTTGTAACTAAAATATAATACTGCACATCATATTCACTTTTGCAACAACTAGTTAGTTCAATAGATTGGTAAAAGCTCAATTTCACATATGTTAAATCCAATAATTAAGCCAGTCTCTCTAATCATCATCCAACTTTTAAACAATCTAATCATGGAAATTCCATAATACGACAATATAGAAAAATATACTTTCAATAACTGCTCCTTTTACTTTGCTGGGCATACAAACATCTCCTTAAAAATGAAATAGTAGTCGATAAAAATCACTGAAAGTACTCTACCTAAAAAGAGTAATGGATCAGCACTATAGAAACGTTTTATTGCATTACACGCCATTCTTCTTTTAAATAACCAAAAACTAAAACCTTTTGCCTCACAATTTTCAAGAAAATGAGACTCGTAATACAAGTGGTAAATGATTCTGTAATAAGCAGCTTGAAGGAAATCAGCTTAAATAACAATATTACTGACGGGCAAGTAGAAACAATTTAGATTGAAAGAAAAGACCTAACTTCAGTTCTGAAATAGATTCTTACATTTAAGGTGATAACGAAGAATTGCCATTCCTTAGAAGATTGCTGTTTTCAAGACAAGATATCGTTTAGAGTTTATATTTTGACTATTAAAACTTGTTCTCTTTAATCAAGAAGATTTAGACAAATTATAGTCAACACCAAATGCAGTTCTAAACAATGCTGAATAGGGTTTCAAAAAGCGAACCCCAAAGTATAGGGCATTAGGAAAAATTATTACGTGCGGATACCGAACGCCGTCCAGAAACCAATTAAAATGCACCATGTCACCCTTTTACTGTACCGTGGGTCGGTACTGCTCGGTACCGCAGCATCCGGACATAGAATTGCGTCCAACGTCAGCACATAATAATTTCTCGAGGATTATGCTACACAGTCATCAATACACCAGTCGCTCCAATGAATCATCCAAAAAATTAAAAAACTATGAAAATTTCTTCATACCTGATTTTTTTGCAAGCCATTAGTGCATCCCTAGAGGTTTGGTTCACCCCAGATTTAACAAGAATTAAACGTAAAATCGTAAAAAAAATTATTCATTCTGTCTTCCCGCCTCATTAATAACTTGTCTCACTAGCATAACACGTCCATAAAACTCCTGCACGGCAACAATATCAGAATAAAAAACAAATAAATGGAAGTAAACCAAAAAATGAATTATCCAGCAAGCAAAATTCACTCTCAAAACCTAGAAAATGCCGTCAAGAAGATTAAAACGATTTAACTTGGATAAAGAATTGAACAAAAAAACAAATGAGGAATTTTAAGCACTGATAGCTCAGGCTGATGTGAAATTTTAAACATTGATGGAAAAAATACCGATCCATCTGCTTCTGTTGCAACCTTAACTTCATCAGGAGAAGAGAAAGAAAGAAATGCATAAACACGATTTTTCCCTCGCTTGCGGTCATGAAGCACCCTAGTGCTAACGACGGTTCCAAACTGACTGAAATGTTCTCTTAGATCTTGAGGCCTTGTTGACCAAGAAAGGTTACCAACATAAATCTTATAAGGACTTTCAAAGACAAAGTTCTTTTTAGGTGCAGAGTTCAGAGCCTCAACATTTTTTCTCCCAGAAACCATGTCAACTGAAAACTTAACTCGCATTTCACGTCCAGCAACATCCTGGAAATGCAAAATTAATTAAAATGAAAGAACATGGAAGAATTAATGAATAATAAGAACTTCATAACTCCAAATGTGGACTTACAGACCCATCCAAAGCAGCTATTGCATATTTTGCTTCAGAAATTGAACCCATTGTAACAAAACCACAACCACGACTAATGCCTGTCTCAGTATCCCGTGATACCTGCATAGCATATGATTTTTTTTTTTTCCATCAAAATGGAAAATAAGCACTAATAGCAAAGTTTTTTCCAATAGTCTACATTTTCTGCAGTAAGAATTTTTCAAGCAACATTCAAACACACTAGAAACACGAAGTTGGTATAACAATAACTTCAATCCCATTCACATTTAGTTCACTGTGACCAGCACGATGCTACTAGTATGTATAACAAAGAGGTGTTTCCTTAAATCTTCATGACATGTAAAAGTATGAGCCGGTAATCAAATTATGAATTAGGTACCATGTCATAATCCTCGATGTGCATTCCATTTTTAGAAAGGATATGTCCATGACTTGGGTGTAAGTGAGTCAAGCTAACTCATGAGTAGACGAGCCAAGCTTGAGTCAGTCTCGATTCGACTCATTAGCACCCGAGCCAGCTCGTTTAAAAAATATTAATATAAAATATACTTAAAATATAATAGGTTTTAGGATTTAAATATAAAGTTGCTGAAATTGTTTGAAAATTATATCTCAATTTCTTGTATTAAATGTTATTTTTCTTATAATTTCTCATTCTTTTTACCATTATATTACAATAATTGCTTAAATTATAATTATTTTCCTTAAATTATAATTATTTTCTCTTTCATAATAAATGAGCCAGCTCGAACTCATTGAATAAGGCTCGAGCTCGAGCTTGAATTCGATTAATCAATTAGGCTCAAGCTTAGGCTAGGGGTGACTCGAACTCGGCTCGACTCGTTTATACCCCTATCCAATCCATGACTATTTATTCTTCTCTTTTTTTATTTTGGCATTACCAACCATCCATTTCAGGATTCCCAACTCTATGTTGCCTTAATATTTTACTGCCATTATATGGGATCATAATTCAAGGAAAACAACTAGCAGAATGTCCTCTACCAGGACCACCAAATTTTAGTTCAATTAATCATAATATGTTTACAATCACCAACACCACCACCAAATGGTTGCGGCAACATAATTTTCATACTTCTTTTCAACAACAGAATCATTCATTTAATTGTTCGGACTCCAATCACAGGCATCTTTTCCTTTCAAAACACTTTCAATCTAGTATTAAATATTATGCTATTAATAACGATCAAATTACTAAAAGTATATTCCGTCGCACATGCATACACTAAATACATACAGCTCAGATTGATTAATGCTAATTTAAAATGGTAGTCAATTTTGAGATATTATTGCAAACAACCTACAAGCTGGTTTTTCATCATCATTATGTTTGTCTCTCATCGTCTGCTAGGGTTTTTCGTGTTCCCTAGCCTCCGTCTGCTTTCTCGCCGGTGAGATTGCGTTTCCATG